GGAACTTCGAGCCGCCATTTTGTTTTCAAGTTCTTTCACCACTCGGCTTTCTTCCATTTAGATCATGCAAAATGCAATGTTTTTTTAATCGCAAAAAAACGACATTTGGATCCATAGATGGTAGAAAATTCTTACTAAAAGTGTCAAACGTAAGTTGGTTTCGTTAAGTGGCCAAAAAACCTTCCCGTAAGTCACTTACGACTGGAGCGCCTTCTTTCCGTCGAAACTGGAACGGCAAACTGCAAACGTGACGGCAAAGCGGTGATCACGTGACCTCCTCAGGTTCGCCGTTTGCCGTAAACGTGATGCTAAAGTTACCTAATATTCACCGAATTCCAACTGAAATCCTCAATCAAAGCTATTAAAAGTATTTGGTGTCTCTTTAGAAATGCCAAGTAATCCTTATAATTATTTTGGTTTTACATTCGACGAATTTACCTCGCTTGTGTATACCGTAAAATTGCTCAGTTATCGACACTTAGCTCACAACTGGCTAAGTATCGATGACTGAGCAATTTTACGGTATGCACAAGCTCGATAAATTTGTCGAATGTAAAACCAAAATGATTGTAATAATCGCTTGACATTTCTAAACAATCGTCACATACTTTCAATAGGTTTGATTGAGGATTTCAGTCGGAATTCGGTGAATATTCTTGACTACCGGGCATTTAGTCTATTTGAGACCGTGACCGGCAGTCTGATATCACAGATACTGACCGATGTGATGGGAAACACAAGCTCGGTTAAATCTTCTTATGCAAAACCGAAAGAATCTTTAGGATCGCTTGATATTTCTAAAGAAACACCAAATACTTTCAATAGGCTTAAATGAGGCTTTCAGGCTTTCAGGCTTTCATGTTACGTCCTAAAATCTTAGGCATACCTTGTAAATACTTTCTGCTTTTTTCACATTATGCGTGAAGGTTGCATATAGAAATTATATTTATCATTTGTATAGACCCAAACTTATTTCCCCTATTTGTAAAAACTCTCTGATGAACGCGTAGGAGATTAAGACGAGCTTTTACTATTTTAGCTTGTGCATTGCTGCTCACCAACTTATCGTTTAGAAAATGTTTTTAAAAAGCTGACGTTTCGTGGAAGAAATAGGTTTTTTTAACCGAAATGTATCGAAGCACTTTCAGAAACTGATTTATTATGTCTACCCCACTTCGCAAATCTACAAGCTGTAACAGCTTACTTTATTGCAAAGTACGATGATCTGTCATTCAGTATAAAGTGTGACAGCTTTTTTTATTACCAAGTGCAACAGTTTTATTACAAAGTGCAGCAGGTGCTACAAAGTGCGATTGAACAGGGTCTCGTAAACGCAGTAAATTCGTTTGTTTTTCGCTTCTGAATGGTCAATTTTGGCAATTCTTTTAGGAGGGAGATATCTCTGGTCATTTTGCCTTGCCTTTCTAGGAACAGCTTTTGTAGCACGCGATTGTCTGGTAGTTGCCTACTGACTTTGGTTATGTTCTTTGATACTTACCTGAAATGTCTGTTTTTGAGGACAACCCTCGGAGTAAAACTAACAGTTTTTTCATTAAAAATCGGGCAAAGAAGAGGATAACAGGCGGAGTTGTACATCAAGAAAACGCTGATACAACCGTGATGGAAGCTGTAAAAAACCATCCTCGGTCCCTTTCCTTAAAACCTTTTTTTCTGAATGGTGCATCCCGGCTGACTACACTAAACTACGCCACACTAAGCTAGAACAGAAACTACACCAAAATACACAAAACCACACCCAAAATCACCAAATCCACCAAACTTCATCAAACCACACCGAGGAACACCAAACAAAACACAAATTACAGCGAAGTACGGCAACTACAACCAAAACAGTTCAATTTTATTTGACAAGTCTTCTCAAATGGCGTGCTACCATATGTCGCCTAGCTTAGGCTGTGTTACACTAAAAGAAAATAACTAATTGGTTTGCAAGACGAAGAGTTCGCTCTGAGGGCCATCTCTGCAAATTCCCTCGTGAAGCTTCTTCAAGCCGCCTTGGCCTCATGCTCACACAATCTCTTGCAAAAGCCGCGTTCCTGTTCGCGTTCGCCTGTATGAACATGCTTAAAAAAGGCTTCAAAATCTAAGCGACTTCTTTGATCTGATATGATATCTTGCGCCTAGGCCCTCATTATCAGCCTTCTGTCAAGTGCCAGACCCCTTGCGAACGTCTTGTTGGGCTCTCTCTCTCTTTGCACTTTCTCGAGGATACGGTTGCAGTGGCAATTTTCGTAAGTGGCCTGAGTTGAAAATTCGGGGTCGGTTTAGTTACAAATCTACGTTAAGGCTCTGAAGTGCATCCGTGTGGCCAATATCTTTATGTGTTACGTTTAAGAACTAATTGAAAAGCAGAAAGCGCTAACATTTTCGCAAGCTTTGAACTATGAATAGAAAATTTGCATGTGAAATAAGTGTAAAAATGATGTAGAAACTATGCCAAATTTATGTCAGTACTTGCGCTCGAGACCAAGCAAATATGCATCTAATTTCGCTGGAGGTGCTACATTTATGTTCATAAAAAGAATCTCGTTCCTAATTTGCGTCTACACTGTTAATTCTTCTCTTATTTGTACAGGACATGTCCAGCAAGTTCAGTTATTATGCCTCCTGGTTTTCACGGCGGCAAAAGAGGGAGCACAGCAGTTTGTTGAGATGATCTTCTCTTGTTCGGCTGGAAGAATTTTGTTTGATGTATATAGGGGAAGTTCACCTCTGCCAGAAGAAGTTGCTTTGGAACATGGGAACAAAGAGACAGCTCGTTATTTTGAAAAAATAACCAAAAGGTACACGTTCAGGAAGTCTGGCCGAAGTGTAGGGTGTACATGCATTTCATGTACGAGTTAAAGAAGCTCACAGTATTCCTCGAGCTTCGTTATAAGAAAACTGTTTGCATTTCGGTCTAGATTATGTTCGTGGACAAATTTTTATCATATTTTCACGACAAATGGAGGCTCTTATTTATGTATCAAAATATCATTAGAGTCTTATTCTAATCCTTTTTTCAATTATTCAATTGCGCAGACTCTCGACCGAGATAAGCAATGGTAAAGAATGTCCGAAGGTGATCGATTGGTCAGAACTTGCAAGAGCTGCTATGAGGGCTCAACAGCCGTCTGGTAACTAAATAAGTTTCACCATGTCAGTTTAGTCCCAGACATTTCATCTACCCAGTTGACATCTATATTCTCTTCATTGTTTTTCCTTTTACTTTGGGTTGCAATGTCTTGCACAAGAAAACAGAGCGATATTGCTGACCTAAATAGAAACTCATCACTGATTGATTTACTGTCCATTTGTGCTTCAATATTCCAGATCTTGCCAACGAATTAAAACACACTCTTACTATTGGGCGTGCGGAGGACACGCACCATTTAGGAAATCACGCGTTTCACTCATCAGCTTTCCAAAGCCCAGACTCAAAGGGAACTGCCACAACAAAATTGAAAGGTATACTATTCCTAAACCAACAGTGCTTTAACGATCGTCCTGTACGTGCGTTTATCTAGCAGTAGTCTTTGTTGAAGTTATATCTTTGGTCATGATCACTTCCTATATCATATTAGCACATTCCCTTATACGTACATGAACTTATCATATGGTCTCTCCGGCCCTGCTCGCGCAATCCCATGGAAAACAAAACGAAAGCTGACGTGTACCGGTAGGGCTGGACGGGGTTGACGTGAGCCGGTCCGGTGCACTTGTGCGGCTTTTTTCCAAAAGAAAAAAGGAAAGGGAAAAGAAACATTGTTCGCTGTTGTTTTACAAAATGAGTAACAGCAGTGTAAAAAAAGAAAACATCGGAAAATAAGTCACTTTCCTCTGCAAATTGTGAGTTTCTTGTTTTGACTCAAAAAAAGAAAGGAAAAGTTTTTCTTGCAGAATTTTTTTATATTGTGGTTTTCCCGCGTGCACCAGTCTATCGCGTCCTATTCAAATTTAAACAAACTTTTCGATCCCATATACAATTTTAATCAGTGCTCATATGATGAAATGCTTAGTGACTAAGTAGGAAGGCCAGACGGGAACATATCTGGCTCCCGTTCATGACCTACGGACCGAGCGCATAACCTCGAGCCAAATATTTTTCCGTCCGTCACTCCCATTCAGTCAATAGGTACATGATATCCAACTTATATTACAAATTTGTATGGTATGCGCCCATCTGCTTCTTTTCCGGACTGCCTGCGCTCATATATGCAACTACACCGTCAAAACGACTTGAAGATAGTGAAAAATAAAGCGGTTTAATTTTTTAGTCCAGGCATCATTTTGAGACCTATATTAGCGTTAGCTCTCGCATGCAAAAACTGTCATCTGTATTTCGTATATGTACTCATCAGTTGTGTTGTAAATCTACTTTCCGAATTCGCGAGTATTGTATCAGGTAAATCTAATATCTTTCTATAATTATATTTATCCAAAGAAAACGGAGTACGTAATGTTTGGAACCACACAGAAACTCAGTCGAAGTGATTCTGACACCAGCAAGAACGCTGTTCTCTTTGGTGACAAAGTGTGGGAGCAGAAATCCTCATACAAATATCTTAGAGTGTACTTGGACTAACATTTGACTTTTTTCTAAGCTATTAACAAAGGAGCCAGCCAATTAAGCTTATTATCAGGATTAGAGATGGCCTAACTTTTCAGGCTGAATTAGATTATTGTGATTTTATATGGAATAATTTAGCACCAAGTAATCTCGGAAAATTAGAAAGCCTTCAGACCAGAGCGGCGAAAATAGTCTTAAAAGAAAAATCACTGTCAGATGAGTAGTTACTTCAACAGTTGGGTTAAAAAACCCTCCATTCACGATGTATGATACGTAGATTGACGTTTGTTTTCAATTGACGTCATTGAACATACGTCATCGTCTCGTCAATTGACGTCATCGAGAATTGTTCTCGATGTATGATACGGATATAGATCGACGTTTGTTTTCAAGTGTCTTTAGTCAGACGAACCAGAAATTTTCATGAACTATTATAGTATGTTTAGTCATTCTAAGGTTACCCGTAGAAATGGCATAGATATTATAATTCTAAGGTTTGAACAGAAGTGGCAAAAAAGGTTTGTTTTTATGCTGGAGCCTAAGCATTCAATGATTTGTCGCCTGAATCATTAAAATCAATCAAGTCATTATCTGAGTTTTTGACACGACGTCAAAGTCTTTCTGTTTTGCATACAAAATAAGATGTAAAAGCGTTTCCGGTTCCGCTTTTTATTTAAAAACCGGCTCAGTACTGCATCAGTAAAATATTTGAATTGACCAAGTCCTGTATTTGGGCGATTTCAAAA